TTCAGCAGCAGCTTGGAGAAAAACCTTACAGAGGAAAAATGGGATAGTGCTGGCTCCCCAGAACTGCAGGCACAGCCTGAACCACATATTGTTACAACTGAACCACAGCAGCTCCTGCATTCCCAGCCTCTCCCAAGGCATCCCAAATAGCCCAAGTCTGGGACTCCCAAGGAAAATTTGATTACGCCCTGCAGAGGAATGTTCCACCCACGACTGTTGTTTCCTCCCATAAAAGGATCATTAGTGAGATAATTTCTGAAGTCCGTGGTATTGTCTCCAGATCTTACTGAAATATCGCACCAGGAAGGGGAAGCCAAATGAGCCAGACTATTTTAAGGCTTTTGCATTTGGAGGAAATTCTAGGGCAAAATTTCAAGAAGGCAGATACTTTGAACTGGGAAACATTAAGCTTTGTGGAGAAGGGAGCATTCCTGTCTTTGGAGCTGCTTAAATAACTCTCTTGGGGCCACTTCTATTTGATCGACTTTATTTTTAGATTTAGAATCTGCTTTTTCAAGCATCTAAATATTATTTTATATGAATATGTGTATGTGATCAAGGCTACTTGGGAAACAGTTTAAGAGTTAAAGACTGACTTAAAAAAACTATTCTTACATACCTACAATTCACCTCAAAGTCCTGGTCAATGATCTGGGCACCCAGGTGGAGCACAGGAGTGTGATCCCACCATTACCAGTGCCACAGCACAGGCCAGACTGGGAAAGGAGACTCAATCACAGGGAGTATAGGGGCTGGATCTGCAATTAGGGTTTTGAACTTGCTATTCCCCCTAAGGTCTCCTTTTCCTCAAGGAGCATGGAGAACACATTCCCATGGCTTCACTTGCATATTCCCCACTGGGTCTGACTGGGATTTAGATTGCTCTAACTGGGAGAGTAACATGCAGCAGTATTCAGACATTTCTTCACTGGCAGCACTCCCTCACCATAAGCGATCAGTAAAACCTTACCCTGGTCTCAAAAACAAGGCTGGGCTCCCCTCTCCTGGACGGCTGCAAAGGTGCAGCTCTCAGCAAGGCTCAGTGAAGCACTCACTGCTCCTCCACACCAGGGGAAAAGCTGCTTTGCTGGGCTCAGCTGGGAAATCACCCCATCCCCAAAGAGAAAGCAAAGGCTGTTAAAGGCCCAATACCCTTAGTTTGTCTTCTAGGAACCTTCTTGGTCTCCAAACCAGTGGAAGTAGGGATGAAGTTAAGTCAAAAGATAGGAACTGCTGTTTCAAAACCCAGTGTGCTGCAAGTACTGCACACTACAGGCTGGGGACATGCCATATGGTGAGAAAGCGTTATAAATGGGAAGAAGTATCTGGAGGTTAAACTTTTTGCTATGGTTTTAAGCTTTTTTTTCAACCCTATTGCACAAGTTCGTTGCCAACTGTTTCTTTACTAATGAAGGGTGGTTTGCAGTTACAGTTACTACAAAAAATGCAATAATGATCTTCATCCTGGGTTTCCCAAGGGAGGTGTTCACAGAATGACACTTCAGTCAAATTCTGCAGGGAAATACTGGTCTTGAGGATACAAATTTCCCACTAATTTAATAAGAATAGAAGATCAGAAGAAGATCAGTGGTATCTGATATTACAGATTTGATTTTATAGATACCTGATTTTATAGATTTCAAACTACAAACTACTAGCAGAAAAGGTAAATAAGGTAAATAAGCCACACTAATTCCCTTCCTAGCAGAGCACTGACTTGTCTTCAAGGCACCTTGTTTCCAGTTGTTTCAAAACAATTTCTTATCATACATTTGAAAATGAAACCCTGTCTCTCCAAGTGTGAGAAGCCAGGCCTCTTGCTCTATGCAAACATTTCTAGGCATCCTTGATTCCCTGGAAAACAAGCTGGAAAAACAAAGGCACCATTCAGCACAGGAGCAGGCAGCTGGAAAGCAAGGGTGTCACCCCCACAGTTGGGTATCAATAGGGTGGTCATCTGCCTCCCTCCCCCAGGCACACAGGATACACTGCTCAGAGAAAGTAGGGCAGCAGGAGAACAGAAAATATTTCCTCTAGGTTTCCTCTGTTTGGTTCTGGGGGGACAAATATAAAATTTCCCCTCAAACTGAGCTGCAATTCAAGAGCTCCCCAGGACTGTAAGATGACCTCTTCTGCTGCTGGTCCCTCCCAAAAGATAAGATGCAAGGCCTGAGCTTCCTGATGCTCCTTTGCTGCTTTAAACCTCAGGATCCAGCCAAGTCCTGCCACTCTAATTGTTTGGTTCCAGCAATTCACATATGAAATGCAATCCAGGTGTGAAATGGAAGACTTGGATTAGACACGCAGGAATAAAAAGCTTATAGTGTTTCAGATTCAAACCATCTTCTTACCACAGAACTAACACTTGCAATAACTGAATGGTTTCAGTATTTGTCAGGATCTCTTAAAGAAACAACTGTTCTGGGAGGCTGTCTGGCCTTAGCCTGTGTAGTCTGTGCAACTGCAAGCTCTGCTTCTACCTTGCTAAGCAGCAAAGTGAGGGAAAATGGGAAAACTGACAGCTAAATACAGGAATATTTGTGATTAACTGCACCTGCAGTCCACTTGAAAGATGCTCTGCACAGACATGCCACATACACACCCATGCTTGAAGATTTTCACTTGGACAGGAGTTGAATTGGTTCCTTTAGAATTGACCAAAATGAAGAGCTGCACAGAGGGACCTGCCTCCCCAGTGCTTCAGAGCAGGATCCTGCCCAGCTCCACCTGTACATACTCTGGGGAACTTCAAAGGGATTCAGGAGTGAAAAAACACAAGGCAAAGCTCTAAACAAAACTTGCTGAACCTTCTCAGCACTGAGACTCTCCTGGTATCCTGCAAGCACAGCTGACCACTTTTGTTCATCTCCCACCCTGTTCATTCCTAGGACCTTAAGGCACTCCAGGCAATTCTCATCCACAGCTCTTCTCCATTCCACCTTTTTGTGATCTTCTCCGAATTTGTCACCTCAAGTAGGCCCTTAAGATTACAACAGCACCAGCTTTCCAATAGTACCCAAACTCTCCAAGCACTGCACTAGTTTCTACTCCCTCAACTTCTGTAATTGCCTCCCCACTTGATCCCTTGCCTCATCCCTGTACAGTGATAAAAGGCAGCACCACTCCCTATGCCACATCCCAAGCACATCCCCAGTTTAAACAGCATTACTCAGACAACCAGGCAACCATTAAACTAGCTCTGCTAGGAGAGGTAAGCATCTCCTGTTTTTCTGAAGGCAATAAAAAGGTACAGATGAGATAAATAACTCGCCCCAGGCCATGGACTCTGTGGTAGAGGAAGAATTCTAAAGAGATACCTCCAAAGCAGGTACCAGGAGGCTCAAGCTCAGTGCTCCCCCAGGGCAGCCCCAGCTCTGCTGCTCAGTGCTGTGCTCCAAGCAAACACATTGATCAAGCAAAAGGCACTCAGTGATCACTGAGTGAGACAAGCAAGATGAACTGGCACTCAGTCATCAGGCTTAGTCACTGGCAACTCAGGATACTTCAGCAAACACCCTAGTTAAAAAGCTAAATAGCCTTTTATTGATCCTCACTCAGCAGCAAATGTGCCTGTACCTATTTAATCCCATTCATTTTATCATTAGCTTCAGAGTGGCACAACCACAGCTCTCCTGGTTTTGCTTTTGATTTTTAAATCAATTTCTCATTCACTTCCCTTTGGAAGGTGATCAGAAAAAGCAGGGCAGCACAGCTGCTCAGCTCACAAAGCCATTAGTGCAAGAGACAGCAGAATCACCTCCTGAACAATGAGAGCTGGTGTCTACCTGCCAGAGCCACCCCAAAACTCAGCATATCCCCAGAGATGAGGTGCACATACCTGCCTGCCATCCTGTCCCACGTTGGTCTGTCCTCTCACCACAGTCCGGATGTTCTCATCCAACCTCCTGGAGAAAAGAGCCCATCATGTCAATCTCATTCTTTATGTGCCTGACCCAAACAACTGGGGGAACCTTGAGAGCTACAGAACAGATTGAAAATATAATAGCTGGTGCTACCATTGCTGAACTCACTTTTTTGTCCTCTCTCTCTGTAACACACCACTATCTTACATAATAAAAAAAAAATAATTAACAAACATTTCCTCATTTAATCAAGAGCTTCTCACATTTCTCTTCCCTTTAAGCACTATTGTCAGCTTTCCCTTGTCTGTTCTCATTTCCACCTTCCACACATTAAAGAGCTGTCTCAATGACTTCAGATTGGTGTTGCCAGACTGCACAGGACATTAAGTGTTTCCTGTACACGGTATTTATTACGTACTTTTAGTACCAATAATGACAACTTAAAAATATACAAAATATAGGTTTTTACAACTGCTATACTGACCTTGCTTTGCTTTCAGCAATCAAATGTTCTGGGTAGTTTGCTCTCTCAGCCTTCAGCCTGTACTAAAATTTGGTACTTGCTGATCCTTAGCTCATTGTTTTTTCAAAGCTCTACTTTGCAACCAGCTAAAATAACCTAAAAGACACCCATTATACAGTAGGGGTGAAGTATAAAAAAATAATTATAATTACAGGAGTAATCTTTGTCTCTGTCCCACTATTAGACTTGAGACTGACCCTCTGAAGCCCATTGATTCCTATCATCTGTACTGAAAAGCTGTATTTATGAAGACTCAGTGACAACCAGACTACTTGGCCACCCAAGATGCAACAAAATGGAGAAACATTTACCTTATTTTTGATCTGATTTTGTTCACAACGTCATCGATGTTGGCCAAAGACTGCAGCAGGAAAAAAACCAAAGAGAAGTGAAATGGGGAGCTGTTCTCTGCAACACACATCAGCTGTGCCACCCAACACTTTCTCTTGAGTGGCATTTGACAAAGAGGAGAGCAATGACTTTGTTTTGCCTACCAAAGAACCAAGACATACAGCAACGTGGCTGCTCCTCAACTCATATAATGAAGAGCAATAAAACCCAGGCAGGACAGGGTGCAGCCCTGGGGCTCCCTGCTTCCCACCCAGCCACAGGCAAGCAGGGTGCCCCAAGCCCTGCCGTGACAGCTGAGCTGCTCCCCAAATGCTGTGGTGACAGTGACCTCCAGTGGGCAGTGGGAACTGAGCCCTCCCCTTCCCTGGGCAGGGACCCTCCTGCAGAGCCCAGACACACTACACAAGGGGTGGGGGAACTGCAGGGGGAACAGCTCTCCAATACTGGCAAAGGGAAAAAAGCCAAGCCAGCACCACCCACAAGCTGACTAGAAACTGCTGAAAGCCTAAAAAGCTGGTGCTGCAGATGATCCTAAATACTGTAAATGTCAGAACTGACTCACAGCCTGATCTTCAGCTGCAGAAACACCTTATTTTTGTAATAGCTTAGTCCAAAGCTGCCACTGGGGCTGATCTGAGGAAGACATAGTATGGATATGAGCCCATGGCAACCTTGTTCTTTACTTTGTCTCAAAACAAAGGTGAAGTTTCAGACATGAATGACTCTCTAGAGACATTTCACACAAGACACCTGCCTTATTTGGCTAAAACCCCTGTGGATCCACCAATTATTAATAGAGGACAAGTAATGAAATTTACTGCCAGAGAAACCTCTTGAGAAAACTAATGAATTTCCACAGATCACTGCAGGACTTCTCCTACAGCAAGAACCCTGGGTGGCAAGAAACTCCATGATGACAGTGAACCTCATGAGACATGAATGGAAGAAGTTGTTATGGTTACAGCTTTACTACCTGTTTAAAAGAAAAGGCTTGGGTACAGGTTCAAACCTGCCATCAGTCACTTACTATCAGGTTACCCCTCCACAGAGGGGGCTGTGCTATGGGCACTACTTACTTGCTCAGTGGGAAAGAGAGTATTAATGTATTCAACAGCGTTGAAATCTGCTCTGTCCAGAGGATCTTGGCTGGGAAACACCTGAAGAGAGGAAGGAAAAATACAATCAACATCCTTAACCATTAACTTCTGTAACTTTACACTGTATCTACTACTTTTAGTTTCTTCAGCACCCACTTCTGGTGGTGTTTCACAGTATTGTTCTAAGAAGCATGCACAGAGAAGGGTCAAGCCTCTGCCCAGGAGCAAAGAAGTTCTGTGCTCTGGAGGTGTCTGACCTATTAAAATTCCTGTGGGTATCAGCCTGGGTAGACACAGATAATACACACACACTTCCATGGACAGCCTCAGCACAACCCATCCTGTGCAAGGAATTACTAAGACACATGGGCCATTAATTATGCATCCCAACCCCAGCAGATGCCTCTGCTGTTGCCAGGAAATGAAACCTCCTGCTGAGGCACTGCCCTTATCCTTGCAAGGCCCTGGGCTGAGAACTGGAGGATTTGCTTTTCACAACCAGGTTAATAGGAAACATGGTGAATTAGGAAATGGTTGTACAAGTTCCTTGGAGACTGGGGTTTGCCATTTGCACATGAAAAAAACAGGGAGAGAAGCAGAATTGCTGAATGATTCTTTCTGCCCACAGGAAAGGGAAGAGAGCAGTTGTGGTGCAAACAGGTCTCATCCCTCCTCAGAAGCAGCTCAAAGGATGCAAACGCAGCTGCCAGGCTTTGCTTTCTGCCCCCACAGACTGAAACAGTGTTCCCTCCTCTGCTACCACATTCCTTCCAGATTGACACAGCCACCAGCCCTGCACTCCAGTCAAAGCCCTGCCCAGCTCCCACCACAGTGTCCCCTCTCTGTGTCACCCTGGTCACATGCAGCATTTAAATGTTTTTACATATTTTGCAGCCTAAAGGCAGCGTTTTTGTGAGGCCGTTTCAATGGGAGCAACTTCTCCCTGAAGCTCCCAAAGCTGCTCCTGTGGCCAAGGAGAAGCAGGCAGCAGTTAAATACGCACGAGGTCATGCTTGAATGAGGAAGTTACTCTGACATTATTAACCCATCATCAGAGCATGGTTGTGGCATCAGAACCAGCCTGTCCTGCTCTGGGCTCACAATTCCAGCTCAATTAACCACTCATCTCCAGATGAATTAAGAGCTCCTGAAGGAAGAGGTGGGACAGAAGATAAAGTAAAGAAGACAGTCAGGAACTCCACTCTCAAACCGCAGATAGGGACTGATGCTCCAGGCAGCTTTGCTGGCTAAAGCTGCTACTCCCAGGTCCTAACCACAGGCCATTAACCAGGAACCATCACCCCACCAGTCTGCAGGCAGGAGTCAGCTGAGCCAGTTCTACTCATTTAACCAGAACCAGGCAGGTTTTGCCCAAAGATAAGCAAGGAATTCTCACAGGAACAAGATTATCAGGTTGAGGAGTAGCAGAAGGCAGTGTCACCCTCACCACCTCCCCTTGCTCAGGGTGTCACTTCCTGCCTACAACCTCATCACTTGTTAAAGTAATTACCTTTATTATCTGTTAGAAGAACTGAGCCAGGGATGTGGTGGGTTGCTCAAAACCTCAAGCCAAAGCTGTCTCTAAAAGGCACATTTTACCTCACAGAGACATTTTGTTCTTGATAAAAATGTCACTAGGTAACTTTCTTAGGCTGTACAACGTTGGGAATCACAGCAGGCTGCTCTGGCTTTCAGATATGCAGGCTCCACAAAGTACAAAGGATTCTTCTTCTGGACAAGTTCCAGGTCTCCTTTAGAAGCTGGTATTTCATTTAGCAATTCCCAAGGTTTTAGTAAATATTACTGAGTGGTTTACTGCAGATGTGCCAACCCTACAGAAAGACTGAGTATGTGGGGTCTCTCTGTGGAGCATTATCCCAAAGCTGACACAGCACCTAGACAAGCTGGGCTGCCCTCCCCACCTTCTAGTGCTGGGCTCACATGAAATGCTGCACCAGCTACCACAGGCTTCTTCTACCCTAGTCCTCTGAGGAGAGACACAAAAACTGATCCACAAGCCTCAACACAGGAGAAAACTTGAGTGATACTTCCAGAGACAGCTCTTGGTGCTGTCAAGAGGTTTCTAGCACAAGAAAGAGCTCTTCAGACAGCAGGGCTGGCTGAGGTCAGTGCAAGCTCAGGCAGACTCCAGCAGAGCAGCTCCAGGTGCCACACAGGGCTTCAGGGAACACTGGGGGCCTTGAGAGAGAACATCATATTGATCACAAAAGTCAAGCCAAGACACTTGAACTACCCTGACCAAGCCAGAACTCCATTAAGCTGCTTTACACATTAAAGAAGGAGAATCAACCAGGAGCCGGAGCACAGGCCGCAGGGCAGGCGCTCCCCTCCGCCAGGCACCGGCCCCGAGCACGACCAGCCCAAGGCTTTGTGGGGCGCAGCACAGAGGCCCCGGAGCTCGCTGAGGGACGAGGCCCATCCCGGGCCCGGCAGAGCCGCCCGGGCCCTCACACAGAGCGGGGACC